ATGTGATTAAGGAAAAGCTATTCATTTGAGGTTTTCTGCAATTTCATATTTGTCCATCATATCAATTAGTAATAATAACTACCGTTAACTAGCACACGATAGGGATTGTACTTATTGAGAATGTCACAATCATATAATTTTTCAAGTTATAGCTTATATTTTTGATAATTACAGCTTAACGAGTAAAGATCATATCTCAACTAGCCATTTAATAGGCAAGTTGACGTGTCGATTTTAGGTTACCATGTCCATCGAAATGTCAAGCATATCCCTCGGATTCTCAATTTTCAATAGGTCGAGAACTCGGCGTCGGATCCATAAATTCAGACTTTTCGATAAGTTGAACGATTTTTCTCAAAGGGATCAGAGTTTGATCAAAAATAAAAGAGTTTTTGAACTATAAATGTCTCATTCTGAAGTCGTCGAAACCTATCGAATAAACACGAAGAAGAAAATTCAAACATGGATACTCGCGACTGACATTAGTTGGACATCTAAACTAAATATGAACTATTAATCTTTTATGACATTAATTGTTTTAGCTCAAAAAAAGATAGGATTGTTAAGATTTCTATCTTAACATTGGTTAGTAGTCTTTGAGCGTTAGAAAAAAAACACTTTTTGCACGTATCAAAACTGAAGAAAAAGTTTTTTTTCGAGTATCATATGTCCTGTAAAGAGTTTATTTGCAAATATGATACTTTATAAATACTTGATTTGCTGGATAAATCATAATATCAATATTTATAAATTTTTTCAAAACAACAAAATACAAAATTTGTTATGATTGCGTTTTTGTCAAGACAGCTTATGAATATCAGTCCTACTTGTTAGTTTGCAGCAATTAATATTATATTGTTTCTTGAAAGCTATGAAATTATGGCACATATATGTGGAACATAAATTATACCGTACTAAATTAGCTGAATAAAAGAAGCCTTTGTAAGTCGCTTTTCGAAGAAGTTGAAAAAAGTTAAAATTAATCTTACCATTTGGAGCTGTTTTTCTGCTAGGCTTGTTTCTACTGGCGTACTCAATAGTATTATTCCGATTCGTTTCCTTTGTTACAGTACCTGAAGCTTTGATGAGTGTGGAGATATTTGAAAGTGCTTGAAGAGTCTAAAATAAATGTCTGATAGGATAGAGCTCTCGAGTGCTCACGATCCGATTCCTGGCATGAGGCTCTGAATCGGAACCAAGCGAGCAAAAACTGTACATTTCAAACTTTCGAGCGCCCATCACACCTATTGCATGCTTTCCAATGTCTACCTGGATAAAGTGTTTTTAACGATTTCGGTGAGAATTTTGGAAGATAACCCATTTGGAAACGTTGAATTTAAAAATTTCGTTAATAAATGCTTTTTTTCTCATTAAACGAGGAGAACGTCTAAAAACGTCAAAATAGACTCTAAAGCACGCATTAGTAGCATATATGACGAAGTTTTCAACAAGATCAGACTTCAAAAACCTTGCTCTTAAAGACTTAGTTTTCTAGAAACTTTCTCAAAACTCCGAACAAATCTTTTTTTTTTGTTTTATCATCATCGAGAATCTATACCTTTAGCATCGACTTTGAAATTTTCTTTCGTTTATAAAGGAATTTTTGCATTTGTATATTTGTACTCCTTCAAGTCACTAGATTTCTGGAACTAAACTCGAACTATACTCCTAATTTCAACGAAATTCTTTAGTCTGAATCTCATAGTCGCTCTGAAAATGCGCGACACTTTTTATTGATTATTTATACTCTGCAGTTAACATATTGCTTGGGCAATATTCACGATGATCCTATAATAATAAAGTGATAATTGTCTGTTGCATTTATAGTATGATCCATTCTGTCGGCCCTGGACTTGGCTTGATCTAGAAACAACATGAAAATTTCTAATGTTGCTCGATACAAGACAAAACAACATCTTCCTTTACGTTCACTTAAGTTCAACTAAATGAAGGTGTTCGACATAAACAACATCACCATTAACAGTATAAAATATGCAGTTTATAGTTTCCTGATAAAATCTTAAAGAAGACTTGTCTTCTGTACAATGGAATTATAACAAAAAGTTATATTTGAATATGACTAAGAATCAAAAAATTGATTATAAGAGATTGTGAAACAACTAAAAAAATTATTTTCTTCCGATAAGATTATCGGATTTCTACATGAGTGCCAGCCAAAGAGAATTTTACCCTTTCGTTAGATAGATATTCAGTCTCTTTTGTAGTGTATTTAATTCGAAGTACTATACTTTGGACTCAACCTATTTCAGTATTTAAATAAATTGATTATCGGAGTAGTATGTGTGAACAACAGTATGGATGACATAAATATCCACTGTAACATCTACATTTGCAAATTGTTAAATACACCATCGGCATTGGCATCTCGATGAAATCCATCGATTGCAAGTGGTCACGTCTGTTCAAACGAAGTCGACGGTTTTGATTTCGAATAATAGACACATGAATTTTTTTGATTCATATTTGATGAAAGTTTAACATGTTATCCATAAGGCTCTTCATAATAGTGTCAATCATTACCTGAGACCATATCACATGTTTCACTCAACTCAGATTGATCAATTTCTGGATGATGAGTGGGTGTGTTTCATTACTTTTCATTAACACTCATACCTAAAAAAGCCACTATGCCTGATTGCTATGTTTATCGATCAAAAACAATTTATTCCGTGATTTAGAAGCAGCCGATCTAGAAATAGATCATGAGCTAATTTAAGAAAAATTAGACAAAATTAATCGAACGTTGGATCAAACAAATCGACTGCATCACGTACTTCAAGTCTATATAAGTGAGCATCACTCTTTTTGCAAGGACTTCCATTATTGGTTTCGATTGAGAACAGCTTTTAAAATAGATTCGGTCGTAAAGTTTAGATGTCGAAGATGAATGCTATTCATATGAATTGACAGCGCTTTTTATCCTCAAGTGCGAACGGTATCCTTTGTATTGTATGTAGATCGAATATAATAATGAAAAATAATACTGTTTCTTCTATAAGTATCATAGACAAGGGAGCATCGACATACTGATTCGTACATTCTGAATCTCATCATTAGCACAATGATAAATATTCTTTATGTGATCGACAAACAACAAGAATAAGCAGAAAAGAAATACACATGCTCAAATCGACGAAGGCAAAAATTAATCATGCTTGCATCATCATATCTTGCCAGGTAACCCGAACGCAAAAAAGAATTATGCAATAAAATTAGAAAACACATCCCGCAGCTCGGAATCGAACCGAGGCCATCCGATTGCTGTGATCAATTTAGTTTTACAGTCGGAGATCATACCATTAGACTACAGCAGGATGTCTTATCTTTCTTTCCTTCTGTTTCTCTTCCAGATGTGAGCTATTGAAAAGTCATATTGATTTCAAAAGGAATATCTTCAGCAAAACACATCAGTTTTTAGTACACATTCTACACCGAAATAACATTAGAGAAGCAAGTACTTTAAACTCGTTAAGGTATAGTTGTGAGCGCAATACCATCAGTCAATATTTACCATGCTAATAGTTTTTGAATGAGTGTATTGATTAGTATTCGTTTGTATCGACAGTCAGCCATTCACCTGAGAATAATGCTATCAGATAACGTCAAGTAATTCATTAGAGTATGTCGACATGAATAGATGGAAAAATACGCGAGTAAGGAAGAGAATATAACCTGAAGCAAAACGAAGCAATATTTATGTCTTCCTCATAAAGTCATACCTGATATTTGCGAAGACGAAGAACGTAAGAATGAAGCAGAACAGACACACTTAAAATGATGTTTTGCTTTGACTAATGAATAGAGCACTTTTTTATTAGTATCACACCACCAATCAAGAAGTATTAATGGGACTCTCCCTTTTCCAACCTAAAATTTTCAGTTTTTTTTGTTTTTCATTTGTTGTGTTTGGTCTGTAGATGTCCTCTATCTAATGAGTACATTTCAAGAAGGCTAAACCATTTTTTTACATGTTAAAACCTCGATAAAAAAACTCAATTTTATGCTAAAAAAGCCAAAAAGTGCAACTTTCTGCGCTTTATTCTCAAAACGAGATTTCTACAAAATAGCTAAAACTTTTTTTAGGGGTACTTCGATCAAATAGAGGTGTGTATTTTTTTTTCTTTTGAAAAGATTGTACCGATAAAGTTTTATAGGCTTTACAACATGAGCACCATTTAGAAAGAAAGCGTTTTTCAATGGTTTTTTGAATAGTGCCTTCAGCGTTTTGCTTCTCCTGAGCCTTAGAAACAAGTTTTTTCAAAGAAAAAAACGATACATCCAGATTTGTTTCTAGTTGGCACCTACAAAAATATTCCGAATGAAAGCTTTTGTTCTACTCATCAAGATCTATTTACCTCTGAAAGTTCCAACAATTTTCGACGAATCGTGCTCAAGAAAACTTGGAAAGGAAGGTCCCCTTAATATCATGTAAACATTCATACTTAAATTGTCATTATCTGGTATCTGTATAGAAATCTTTACTATTGACTCATCTCAAAATATGTATCATGTCTTTTTACTATGGCGCTTGTTACTTCCTTTCAGATTGAAAAGGAAAAAACCGACATAATGTTACTATTTCAATAGTGAAGAACACACACATTACTTGAGAGATGAATAGACGAAAGTAAGTGTATGAAGCAACGAAGCGCTACATTTCTCGTTTATTATGAACTTTTTTTTCATACTTATCCAATCGATCTATATTTTTTGACTGAAAATTCTTCTTGAGTTATGAATATCTTTCCTTCATTCTCATTCACTTTTGATATCCTGTAGAGGAAAACTTTTTTTTTAAAGAATCCATAGGATAATAGACAAAATTTTGCAGTTAAACATTAAGAAAAGAGTGATTATGATAGAACTTTGTACTCAACTTTGACATAAAACTCAAATGATAATGTTTTATTTGAATACTTTCATTCAATTTATTCAGATACGTGACCATCGCAAATGAATAATCATCATATGCAATAACAATGAAACCATTTTTCAATTCTGCCCAAGCACACGATAGTCAGGCACATATGAACGAAGCCATTGAAAATTGGATTAGACGAGATGACACAAGTTCACTCATACGACAATCCATACCTCTGCAACAATTATATCGAAACTATACAATAAAACGACGAGCTAATCAGTTGGAAACATCAAAAGCAAATGAAAATTATGAGTTTGTACTTGATATTGATGTGAAAAAAAAGAATGAACGACCATTATTTCAAACACATGGAAAAACAATTTATCTTGCTGAATGGTTACCAACCAGTTTCGAACGACCAGATATAGTTCTATTAAAAATCGATGGTATTCAGGCAAGAAAAGAAGCATCATTCTATACTCATCTAAGTCATCATCCCAATATTGTTCGAACATTTGGTTTCGTGCTGCATGGTGATTGTCATCACCGTCAGGATTCCACCATGTTGTTACAAGAATACGCTTCATTAGGCAGTTTATACGAACTATTACAAAAGCCAAACATAACTTTCGATGAACAAACTCTTATAGAAATATTTTTGCAAATAATTGATGCAATGATCTATTTGTCAATGAACAATATTGTTCATGGTGACTTAGCATGCCGAAATATACTTGTATTTCATTTTGATTCAACAAATCCGAAAAATATTCTTGTCAAGCTAACTGATTTTGGTCTTAGTCAACATAACCAGTATGATTCATTCACATCAGATTTTGCACAATCAACGTCATATATTATTCCTATTCGATATGCTGCCCCCGAAATATTTCTATCGAATAATGCAATGAATGCTTATTCTGAAAAATCGGATGTCTATTCAATGGGTGTACTCATGTGGGAAGCATATTTTCGAGGTGCAATACCTTGGTCGAATATTTCGGATGATCTGGCTGTTATTCGACATGTAATCAACGGCCATGTTTTATCTCGACCGTCAAACTGTAGTGAACAATATTGGTCAATTATTCTCAAAACATGGTCACGATTGCCGGACAATCGACCGGAGTTTGAGCAATTGAAACAACTTCTCATCGAACCAGCCAAACTTGAAGGTATTTCATTTGTATTTGATTTAAAATGTCTGATAAGCCAGTCAAAAGGCCTATTTAAGAATATGAGTGAGGCTCTTCTCTTGACTCATCTAGAGCAAATGATGCTCATCTTCTTAAAATTCAACGTAAATTTCAGTTCAACATACATTCCTCAAAACAAAAAACTCCATGTGAATAGGCCAAAAGAGTCCGAATCATAGTTACTATGACCATAGTAATAAAAATCATTACCATCATTCATTCAATCTAATCAGATTTCTCAATCATTTCAGTTAAGACGGTTTCTTAATTTTGCTTAGACAGTTAGTTTTCATCTTGTGTCTTTTTGATTAGATTTTAAAAAAATTCACCTTTTATTTTTTTCTAAAGACCCAATATCTTCAGTGATGTTTCAACATTTATCACTTTTGTTCGATTTATTTTTGCTTCAGTATACACACAGTATCAAAGTCTACAACCTGAAGAACAAAACACCTCATGTTCAGCTCGTTCATCAGTATATTTGCAGAGTCAGCAATCGATTGATGACGATCTCGAGTCTGCCATCATAGATTCAATCATTGATCAACAGCTTAACGAGTCTTTCTTAATTTCTGATGAAATTGCACCATACAAACTCTTAATCCCAACCGATGCTATTCGAAACAATAACCCATCGACGACACAGATCCATCATTCTACTGATGAAGCATCGAAACAACTTCAATTGTCTTCTCATCGATATCGAGTTCGCGATAAACTTTTCTCAATTGGTGGCACTTATAAAATCAAAGATGAGACCGACAAAGATATATTCATTATCCGATCGAAAATCTTTTCCATCGGTGATAACCTAACATTGGAAGATATGCACGGAAAGTAAGTCCTATCTAGATAAGCATATCAAGAGAATTATTGCTCGTAGTAATATAGTCAAAAATTATTATACATCTGAAAACCAGTTTATGTGCTACTTTTTGTGTATTGGAAAGAAAAAACAATGGCACAACCTTATTATTTTGACCATCTATATCGTCTTCATTTTTCTCAAAAACTAAGTTGTTGCTTTCTATCTGTTTGTATAGTCGTCTGATCAAGATTCGTGAAGAATCATATCATTTCCATACGACTTATCACCTTTTATCAGCGGCCAACAGTGATTGCAATCGTTCGTTAGCACATATCAAAGAGAAGTTCACTTTTTTTCGCAAAAAATTTACAATCGATTCGGTCTTTGGTCAGTATGAACTTAAAGCACTGGATTTCTTCTCTCATTCGTTTATATTGATCAAACAAGAACAAGTAGTTGCTGTCATCGAAAGAAAGTGTCCTTCAGTGACGTATACGTATCTTGTTGAAATAGCTAGCAATGAAAATCAAGCATTTATATTAGCATTGGTTATCGTGATCAATCAAGTGATGCATGCAAGTTGATAACACATCTATTTCATTGAATGTATATAAAACTATTTATTCATCTTTCTAAATTGATTTGAAATAAAATTAGAATTATATACGAAAATCTTTGTTATATAAATTACTTATCAAAACACAGTCAAATGAGTAGCATATAGAACTGTCTGTCAAATCTATAACATTGACTAAATGACGTTATATAGAAAGGGATAGAATATAAGTTCCTTATTTCATCAAAACATGAAACTGGGCTTTACTATTTCTTCATTTAGACTGGCCAATTCCTTAGCTAAAATCATGCAAATCTAACAAAATATTTTGTTTGTTCTCTTTTCGGTGACTAGTTCAAAACTGTAGACGTTCATATTAATCGTATCGATTTTTACAGAAAAAAAAACTAGTGGACTGCACTGTAGTTTTTCGGTGATCCTCATATACCTCCACCGTGTAATTTTACATAATGATTTTGGATGGTTGTTGGGAAAATCTTTCAAAAATTTGGTTTGTATACAAGGTGCCTTCGACATTTGATGGAACCTATGATAAACAAAATGTGAGTACCGTTGACTTCAACCAATTGGTACGTGTCATTTTGTGCAAAGATGAATGAGCAGATAAGTCGCTCTCACTTTCGTTTTCTTTTGTGTTCAATTGAAACTGAAATGTATGCAAGAAAAGAAACGAAGAAGAAATAGATCTCGAGTCATTGTCCAACAAATTATTAATTTAATCGACGTAAGTTTTATCTCCACAATATTCTAGTAAGGATGAGCATGGATGTGGGTGTCGATCCCATGTCCTTAAAATCGCTAAAAAAACCGATGATTTAATCGCGACTTATTAGGGTGATTGATTGTAAGAGCTTATCGCGATATAACCATTCAAACTGTCGATTTTGGCCGATATTTTTTCCGATTTTTAAGCAAAATCGCGATTAATTTACGGTTGCGTAATCAATCTAGGCTCATCATGAAAAAAATGGTAGAAACAATAAGTTTTTGCCAAGATTTTGGATGTCTATAAAACGAGTCTCTTCGTTATCTGTTTACGTTCTCCGAGAACAACTTCATCCATTGGTATCGTTTCTAATACCGTATGGCAGATTCAATTAGATGAGCTTATATTTTCGAAGCATGGAATATATCATTATACTATACTTACGTATATCTGACATTGTTGAATTTTCTACGTGTATTCAACAAAACTTTGTTAACCATGAAAATATTACTACGAGTAAAATACTAGGGATGTCATATTTAAATGATAACCATTTATATTTAAAAATAAAAATTATTTCTAACTAAATTTAGTTATCATTTAAATTATCACCCAATTAATTTATTTTACATAAAAATTATTCTTATTCATATCTATCTCTTTAAATATAAATATTTTTTAGAATCTATATTTAATAAATGTGAATTATGAAAAAAATTATTTTTTATTCAATAAATTCGTAAATTAAAATATAAGAATAAATTGACACCCCTTAGTCATTTTTAATATGAAAATATGTTCCACTATTTTATTAAGATAGTTTTTTTTTAAGAATATAAGAAATCCATTGACCATGGCACTTATACAATTAATTTCAAAAAGAAACAAATAAAAAAAAATAATTTAAGGATGGGTGTGGATGATAGAAGACTAACTTTCACTTCCAAACCACATCTCACACCCACACCTACCCTTTTTCAAATGCAATCTGAACCAAATCAAATCTAATTGAACTTGTGTGATTCGTTTTGGTCTCTGGTTCTTAATACAAAGTAAAACAGATGAGTTATTTATAAATTTCTATGGATAAAAAAAAATTAATAAAACTTATTGTGAAGTGAGAATTTATATGAAAGAGAAGAGAAAAGAGAAATTTGAGAATAATCTTCTTTGTTAACTGATTACACGAATCTCTTTGAAAATGTTCTTAAATTAGTTGGGATGATAGAAAGAAGCTGTCTATATATAACGATCGAAAACTAATCTTCGTTTGTATGAGTATTAAGCAATAAATATATCTGTTGAAATAAATCAAAGGTTTGTGACACAAGCCAATCATTGTAATAGATTAGGTAATTTAATATGATACAGTTAGACTGAACAAGAAGAGATAAACAAGTTCATTTTTTTGTTTATCTAAGCTAATAAACCAATAATTAATGGGTCAGAAAATTGTGTTCTAGCATATTATAAAATTTTAGAAATATTTTGTTGGTGAAAATATCTGCAAATCCACAGTTAGCTTCGACCAATCACAAATCTCAAAATAATCGACGATTTATGACGATACATCTGCGTTATTCACAAAATCGACGATTAATCGCGATGCATTTGCATTACTCAAAAAATCGGTGATTAATCGCGATACACCTGCGTTATTCAAAAAATCGACGATTAATCGACTGTTTTTTTTTGTTGAAATCGCAATTAATCGTTAACTTATATGAAAATCGCAATGAATCATCAAAACTTAGACGATTTTGATGACATGGGTTGTATGTGAAAAGAAGATTTACATACATCCTTTTAATTAGTAACTCGATTCGAAACTTCTGACGCACATGTGTAAATAATTTAGAGTAATGCTTGCCCACCTAAGCATTGCAGAGACTAACTGATTACAGATGTTTTCACATTTATTGAAACCGGATAAGAAAACTTCTTAGAAATATTTTGAATAAAGAGAAAAGCGAAGTTGGATTCTCAAAAAGAAGTCTATAATAATGATGAATGAAATTAGTCACTGACTCTTTTAATTTATCAATAATATAAAAATTTAACTGTTAGATCATATTATCGGAATTGTGCAATTTATAGTTATCGTCAAGGATAATAGACAGACTGTCGCTCACACTTTAGTAATTGCAATTTTGACTAAAATGATTTAATATGTTAAATGTTTAATACTGAAGAATATTGCTTATTTTTCTCATATTCGTCATCATTAGTAAAAATCAAAGAAATGTATTTCGTTGCTTAAAACTGCCCGCTTTATGAAAAAAAACTAAAAAACTACATTAAACGCTAATTATTTAATCCGCAGAAAAAGAAATTTTCGACGCATTGATATCTTCAATTTATCCAGATTTGTTTATCAAGTAAAATTCATCTCTAGCTAATGTAGCTTAAGGAAACACTCATACATAAGACCTTTAATCTAGGATTCATTTGTTCAACTATAACTTGCCGTCTGATGTAAATATTCAATGTTTTACTAATAATACTGTTTTTTCTTTTAAGAAAACTTAATTTTTATCAGGTAGTTCACTTTTGATGATGTATTGACCTTGTTTTTTAGACATACGAGTAATCATTCTCTTAAATTTTTTATTGTTTAAAATACTATCTAAAATAAAAAACTAATCATGTAGAAAACTTAAAAAATATGACGAATATCATTTGACTAAAACGATGCATCCTATAAAAACCTTTGCAAGCAAAAAACTAGAATATTTTTTTTTAATTATTATCTTTTTAAATATAAGATGAAAATATTGGCTCAAAATTAACCAAATGGCTATAACATCGTCTTGCAATTACATATTTTAAAGTATCTTTTTTCTTCAGATAAGAGCTTTAATCCTTTTCTAGAAATTTACATATTTCGATCAAACAATTTTAAATAAGTTAGTCACAGATGAGATCAAATTTACTGACTAGAGAATTCAGCAGAACTCATAATATGAATGAAAATCCTGAAAGAATTTGTGTCCTTGGACCTTTCTTCTTGAGTTATAGTCATTGTACTGAACTTTCAGCCTATTGCAGAGTATAAAGAGAAAAAGTTGGAACAAGAAATTGCAGCTCAAATGAATATTTTCTTTCTCAGATAATATGTTTGCAAAAAAACATTACTTTCACATAAGAATACGAAAAAATAGCCCCATTTTTGAATATATGATATCTTCAGAAGACATCATTTATTTGAGCTGAAACTTTCAGTATATCATTTATGGACCATAAAAGCTATTTTTGGAGGAAATTCTAGGCTGAAATTGCACTAAAATGGATATAATTCGAGAAGAATGACGTCATGTCATGAAACTTTTCAAACTTTTCATCTACAATATGAGTTTTATCTGTAAATAAAATATAAACTCAAAGGAAGATTACCAGTCAGATGGCATCCGTCATGATAGGAGTTGTAACTTTTCAATTATCCTTTACCATAGGTTTATTCATATTGATTATTAGATATCAAAAAACAAAACGATATTTTTTATATCAAGAATTAGCAATAGAAAAAATTCAAAATATAGATGATTATACTAACATTTTATATCCAAGGTCAAGTGTGGGTATGTCTTCTTCATTATAAGTATATTATTACAGATTTCCAATCATATAAAACAGACGATCTTTTTAATCTCAAGTTTCGAAAAACTTGTGAACATGCTGCTTTGCTTTTCTTTTTTAAACTATTTATGACCTCTAACAGAGAATCATCATATTCATATGCAATAACTTATCATTTTGTATAACAATAGTTTTGTTACTATCAACCTTCAATTATTCTATAAATTATGTGTCAAGTTATATTGTGATCGTCCTTGTTGTTCAACACAATCCGATAAACAACAACTAAACGAACATATCTTTTTTTTACTGTTTTTCTCTCGTATTAATTCAATATTATTTTCGAATGAAAATTATTCTACTCTTTTTCCCCACATAATCTCTCTCTTTATGCGTATCGCAAATTTTCTCGTAGGCTTGTCATTGTTTCATGTACAAAAAACGTCCTTCTAAAGCAAGGCTGTAATGCACTGAAGCGAATATGTATAGTTGTTTGTCTGCCTTCCCCCCCCCCCCCCCCCCTCCCACTGTTTCATCTCTATCCATGCATGATCAACTGGGCCTATATAAACATTAATCCCCCAGCAGATTTTCTTCACTCATCACTTTAACCAGTAAGTACTCTGTTCACATTAACAGTATACAAACGATCATGACTGCTGCTGATGCTGTCTTTAACCAAGTCGATCTTAACAAAGATGGACGTGTCGATCTCGGTGAATTCCGTAACTTCCTTGGTAAGTTGGTATTTTTTTTCAATAACTATGCGTGTATTTTTGTTAATGATAATTATTGCTTTTTGCAGGTCAAAATCTTGGTGTTGATGCTGGCTACGGTGCTAGTTCATCATGGGAATCAGCATCATTAGGTGGTGCTGCTGGCTGGGGAGCTGGTGCTGGCTGGGGTGCTGGTGCTGGTTGGGATGCTAGTGCTGGTTGGGATGCTGGTGCTTCAAGCTTTGAATCATCTGCATCAGGTGCTGCTCTTGGTGGTGCTTATGATGCTTCATATGTTGTTGGTGGTGGTCTTGCCGGTGGTGCTGCTAGTTACGAATCAATCGCAGCCGGTGCTGGACTTGCTGGTGGAGTAGTCTTAGATTCATCAGCATTAGCAGCTTCTCAAGTTCAATATGCTGCTGATGCTCAAGGTCTCTACCAAGATCCAAATCCACAAATTATTCGTCGTCCAAATCCAACTGGTGTACAAACATACACACAAAATATTCGAGTTCAATTCCTTCAACCACCACCTGTTCCACCACCAGGCGTAAGTCATTTCTATCAATCATCATGATCTATTTCATAATATCTAATCTTTTTCTTTTCTTTCAGCCACTCATCATCAAAGAAGTTCGTCCACCTCAACCACCTCTTCCACCACCACTTCGTCTTCGTCAAGTAGCTCCACCTCTTCCTCCACCACCTCCACTTGTTCTCCGTGAACGACCACCAGTACCACCACCAGTAATTGCTTCCCAAACAGTCATTCGTCGTTTGCCTGGTTTACCAGTTCCACCACGATCAGTCATCATCGAACGTCTTCCACCTCTTCCACCACGACCACGTTAGTAGATTCTTTTCTTCTTTGTTTTTTCTTCTGATGTTTGAATCATAGGTGACATTATCATCGAACGTTGGATTCCATATGGACCTCAAGCTAAACGACGTACCCTTCTTCATCGTGCTCCCGCTCCTGCACCATACCCAGCTCCACGCAATATTATCATTCAATACGAACAAGCACCAGTTCGTATTGTTCGTCAATTCCAACGTCTTGGTGTTGTTGCAGCTAATCCAGCTCTTTATGTTCAAACATACGGTGCTCATCTTCTTGATGGAGCTTCACTCGTTGCACAAGCTCGTTCTGCTGGTGTTGTTGAAGATATCGTATGTTTATTATAGTATTCTTATTTTTTATTCTAAAAAAAAAACCCGTCTTTTTCTGTTTGTAGTCAGCACCTGGTTTTGTTGGTTATAGTGCTGCCGCATACGGTCAAGAATCATGGGGTGCCGCATCAGGCTTAGCTGGTGGTGTTGGTCTTGTTGCTGGAGGTGCTGAAGTTGCTGATGCTGGTCTTGTTGTTGGTGGTGGACTCGCTTCATCAGGATTATATGAATCATCAGGCTGGGCAGCAGGTGGTGCTAGTGGTTGGGAAGGTGGTGTCGTTGGTGGTGGTCTTGGTGCTGGTTGGAATGGTGGTGTCGTTGCTGGTGGTCTTGGTGCTGGTTGGAATGGTGGATTATTGGGATCAGCTGCTGTTGTTAATGGAGCTGATGCTGCTTTCCTTAATGCTGATACCGACTATAATGGCAGTCTTGACCGAGCAGAATTCCGCAACCTTCTTGGTAAGTTTTTGTCCGAATGGATTTTATTATTTTATTGATGTCATAACTAAATTGTGTTCATCTATTTTTAGCTCAAAATCTTTAAGAACTTACTGATACATCCTCATACGAAACATACACTTCATCTGTTATCTATTAAACAATCACATGAGCTTTTTTTTTTGTTTTCGTTTTACTTTTGTTAAGCGCTTGGTTTTATGTGAATCGACATCAGCAGTTTTTTTTTCTGCATTGTTTTGTCGTTATGATATAGTTCTTGATTTTGATCTTAGTTAATATAATATAATAGTTGACGAACAAAAAATAAATTATCTTTATTGGATCTATTCATATAAACTGACAGATAATTAGCTCAAGATATATTGTCAACGGCATCATGTATAACTATTTTTGAAGCTAAAATATAACGCATCTCGATATTATTTGAAGATTTTAAGAATGAAAGTAGCTAACAATCTGTGTTTTTCTCACCATTCGAAACAGAAATGTGCAAGATATGAAATTGTGCTCAATTTTCTGAACGATGTATTATTCAAGCTAGTGAGTTGTTTATGTATTTTTTTCAAACGAAAACATTTTGAAATAATTAGAAAGATAAAATCTTGAAAGTATTCCCTCTGATGTTAAAAATTTTTTATCGACTGAATAACAAAAATCAAGATCTAATCACTGACAGCCTTATTGAAAATAAAAATAATTACTATTATGAAACTGGATGTAGACAAATACACTAAATTAAATAATCGTTAGAGTGATTATTGATCAGTTGATTGATTTTAAAACTCCCAAACGTTTGAAATTTCTCAATGGAATTAGTTAGAATAGGTAGTCAAAAACTTTTCTTGAAAATCTATAGCAAAATTCAATGATTTAACCGATGTATTGTCTAGATAAATCCGTAAACTTTCACTTTCCGCATATTTATACAACTAATATATTCAATGTACAATCACTAAGTACAACTTTATTCAATTCAAAAATAAATGTCTACAAATTTTCGAACAGAAAATCATAAAATTTCGACCAAAACCAAAAAAACTTTTAAATGCGGTAATGTTTTGAAAGTTTTTTTCCTGAAGAATTCTTCACAGAGGAAGAAACGTAGATGAGCAAGTGTTCACCAACAGACAGATGTTACTGTACTATTTTTTTCATGTGAAAGATGGACATTAGAGTAATTAATATAAATAATAAAAAGCACGTGTTATGAAATATGATATTATCTGATATTATTTTTTTTTTACCTTAAAAGAACAAAAAAATGCTCTTTGTATTATTCAGTACAGAATACAGTGACATAATAATCATCATAGATGATTATATTTAGCTTTATTTAGTAAATGCACAGTTTGAAAAACATAACAAAAAAAAATTTATATAAAGATATGATCATAATGTTGTCTAAATTCTGTCTGGTTCCTACTTTAACAATATAATATGTAGATATATAAATAGCATGTGCTAAATTTTTCACAATAATACCATAAAGATAATAATTAAATTCTAATAAATATTCTTTTTTTTTTTCGTATAGCTAAATCTTAATTCATTCAACAGTATCTCTTTATATATTCAATTTGATAATCTTTTTCCAAACATATTCGAATTGATATTAAAAACTTAATTTCAAAAAGTTTTTTTTTCTATTGTTAATCATGATAAATTATTTTCATTTATTTGTCTTTCAATTCATGTACGTTTATTTTAGTTGAGTGAATATAGGTGATGTGTGCATATAAATAGTAGCATAAGAAGATGATTTATCTAAGTTTATTTTTGATTCTTCAATAAAAAAAAAAAAAAAACTACAATCAATTTGATGTTAATAATGAAGAATTGTTGTTGAACATAAATGGTTCATTTTGTTTTACTTCAAGCTAAA